AAAAAAAAAAAAAAAATGTTGCCTACTAAAGCTTTTCCCACCAAATTCATGGCAGTTACGTAGAAAATTTAGTCAATCATACACGTAAAAAGGTGGAAATGAAATTTAATTTTCATGTTCCATGAAAAAGAAAACCAAATCAAACGGGCCTTTTTCTGAAAGAAATACAGCTATGTGACTGGGGAGGTCTAATTTGCTTGCCTCTGCATTCTTTAATTACAATTTTTCTTATTTACTTTCTTGAGGGAAGGATTTGATAAATGACAAAAAAGAAGTCTGGCAAAGGAAACTTTTTCCTTTTTCATTTACGAAAGTAGGTTCCTGTTTTGAAGAACGCTGAACAACGAATACTTTCTAAATTAAGAATGAAGATAGAGGTAAAGATCTGATCAACAAATTGCCTAATGCAATTCTTCATTATATCCTCTCCTTCCTCCCAATGATATAATACGAACCTCAGTGCTATGCAAGAGATTGAAAAACCTCTCGACTGCCATTTCTACCATTGAATTAGGAGATTCAATTTCACGGTTTGACAAAATGAAAGAGTTATTACCCAAATCTTCAGGATTCCTTCTTCAATATTGTGGAAAGAATATTTATCCACCATGATGATTCAGATATTGTAAGGTTCCATCTTTCATTTGAGATTCCGGTCAATCCTTTCCATGTTAATTCATGGATTTCCACTTTTTAAGGCACGCAATATTAAAAAACTTGATGTGTCCCTACATTTCTCTTCGCATTTTTACTTGTTAATTCAATGTTAAATCTGCATTAGAATTTGGGTGTGATGCTAATTCTTTATTGAAAATAATTGAGAGTTCTAATTAAAGTACACATTAATTAGAATCATATTTAGAATATAATTCTGAAGAATTTTATTTCTTTGATTATATTGTAAATATTTTAAATTATGATTAACTTTTCAAGTGGAGTCATTTTCTTTGTAATTTACAAAACAAGAACAATAGTCATTTCTCTTAAAGTTACAGTTTCTAACACGAAAATCAACTTGGACATAACAAAGGGAATGGATATACAAAATTTTTCTTCAAATTGGGCAAATATATGAGAATCCTGTGATATCAACTATCTTGAATCAAGTTCTTTGGCTCACTCAAAACATACTTCGGTAATTCATATCTTGCACCTGCAACAAAGGCGTTTGAGGGTAATATAGTTAGGGGGTAATATAAACTCCATACCCGACCTTATGCTAAAGGGCAAAAGAAAAAAAATAAAATTCAAATGGATTAAACTCAGTTAAGTACCTCTTTCATCGTGACAAACAGTTAAATCGACATTCTGAATTGTGATCCTAGCATCATTCACAATTGTTTGTGCAAGAGTTGGATCCGCTTCAGCTGCTGCACGAAGTGCATCCCAAATTTCTGGTACAAATACATGGTACAATATAAGATTTCCTCGCAAGTTTTAGGCAAAATATAACGAACAAAAGAAATTTATATGGTTCAGCACCTGGACCTCCTACAAAAGAGTACTATGTAAATTGTACTAGGACGATATGTACTCAGATTCATAATATTGTACTAGGATGATATGTTCTTGTCAAACATCGGATATTTGATTACCTTACTGCTCCGGACTGAATCCCAAGGAGAAAGACTCAGTTCTTTGGGAGACTTATTCTATTGGTGTTTTTCAATATACATTTTGTTGTTCATATTTAAACTTACCTATCCGACCGCCATAGTGAGGAGCAGTGTCCCAAAACTCTTCTCGCAACTGTATGAGTTGACACTTTGTTATCGGCTGAGGATGCTTCCATGGTTTCGGTTTTGTGATCTTCTTAACATTTCCTGTAAAACTCAAGTACATTATCAGTACCAACATTTAGGTAAGTCCCTCTCCATTGCCTAATACCAAAGTTCCGACAGCAAGAAACAGTAGATCCCGATCATTTGTGACTCTTAAGTCATGCGTAGTTAAGCCTAAATTATTCGTGTTTTACATGCTGATATCAAAATAAACGAGCTTTTCAGGCACGATGATGCAATTATCATAAGCTGGACCAACATATGATTGGGTAATCACATCTCAAAAAGTTGAATCAAGTAAAAAAGTAAAGAACAAAGATTTCAAATAATACACAAAGAAAACAAATGAAAATTTATGGAGTCTCGTGCCTCACCTTTCATCTGTGAGGATCCAGCACAACCCATATCGTATTATTGTATGAAATGAAGTAGATTCAGATTTGAAGTCCAATAAATTTGTGTTGTAGGAAGAACAGTTTATGAAGTTCAGTGAGTTCTCTAGTAAAGTGGATGTGAATTTTAGTTGATAGGAGAGAAATGAGAGTTCATGTTTCAAATGGTCACTTTATGGTAGGATATTTTTCTCTAAATTAATCCCAAATGGTTGACTTGAATATCGCAAATCTGAGAACTCGTCGAACTATACTTTTGAATCTTGAGTTGTTGGTACGGTGAACAACCATTCCTTTTTTCCGGTTAAAGTTTATCGTTTGTAGATAAAAGTTAAATTTTGGTTAATTTATTTTGAAAGTACGATGATAATTCACTTATTGGCAAATGTTGTTGGAGGGCCAAAGGGAAATGGTGTCCACAAGAAAGACCAGAAATTGAGTAAGAGAAAAAAGTGTACTTAGTAGTTGGGTATCATGTTCCACTCTCGTGATTACAGTTGCAGAGGTTGTAAAGGAAAGATAAGTGGTGAACCATCCAACATTGTTATGTCCTAAAAGTTCATGTATATAGTCCCCCAGAGTTGTAAAAAATTAGGAAATTTCGAAGCAATAAATGAAATTAGCTTAGTTTTTATATCTATAGATATAGAGAAAAGAGAGAGAAATATGCACATACCCCTAGACGCTTTAACCATACATAGTCGAGGATCTAGTTGGTCAAAGTAGGGAATAATCAGATAAAACACTTTTTTATCCACACATTTCGTAAGACACACAATTACTACTCCCTTATTATATACACATTCCATAAACCCCAAGGCTTATTATCACTTAAATTTTAATTTAATCACCTCCCAAACACACGTGCACTATGTAGTCAATAGCACCACCAGAAACAAGAACATCAAGAAATCATGCGCATACATCTCAAAACATGTTGTACATTTTGTTTTGTGATACAAAAATCAAAAACAGGTACTTTTAAGCTACTTTCTCGACATTCAGATGTTTTGGTAAAACAGATTTTGTCTGAATTGTGATTCAGCTGCCTAAAACACTGCGACTTAATCATACCGGTGTGAATCTCCATACTTGCTCCTGAAATTATAAGGATCATAGTTAGTATTCTCATAGTTGGCTGCCCTGGTTTCAACAGGTTTTGGCTCCATACTCGATGCCACAAAATTTGTGTCTCCATTTTTCTCTCGTGTACGATGCTTTGTTTTCTCTTTCTGACTCTTTGGCCTGACCTGCCCGAATGGAGGAACCTCACCCAATCCATAGTATTCAGTAAATTCTTGTCGTCTGGAAGATCTGTGCTTGCTTGACAAAGAGGGATCTTTAAAACTGCTCGACTTAAGCTTAGGTTGTTTTACTTCAGTAAATCTATCTGCAGAAGATGGCTCACGGGGATCTTTAAAACTGCTGGACTTAATCTTAGATAGTTTTACTTCAGTAAATCTATCAGCAGAAGATGGCTCATGGGTCTGCCTTGTTTCAGATAGGGGAGTTGGAGTTCTCTGGTTTTGAGGTAATGAAGGCTTGGCTTCATCTTCAGGCATAACAAGAGAATCTTTCAGTGGAGTAAGGCCACCTTTGGAACTCTTCCCTCTGAAGCTCAAGGGAATGAATTGAAGAAAGATACCACCTACTGCTTCCATTGCAAACTTGGATAGATCCAAGACGAGCTGTCCAAATGACGGCCACCCAGCTTCTTGTTCGTCTTTAATGGCCACTGCAATAGGAGTGGGTTTCTCCTTTATCACTGGTTGTTCTGGAAGTTCAGATCCATTATGCCCTTGCTGCAATTATATGTTAAGAGATTCAAGAGGCAGTGCACATTTAGGCATCTAAAAAGCAGAGAAGACAAATTTTTGAACTAATGTCTTAAGATTAGACATCCTCACAAATCACGGAAATAAAAAATCAGTGCCTTCAATCCACACAAAAACTCACATTGACACAAAACTTATAGAAACGTATAAAAGATTATCTTGAAAATACGGGAAGTCCATGCAACTTCTATGAAGTGAAATATGTGAAACTTGGGCACCTATTCAATAAAATGTAGAATTCATTTATCTATCGCCAGAAGAAAACTTTCCATTGATTAGAGGAATAAATGGTACTAAGACTTTCACAAACAACTGAATTTAAAAGTCAAAAGGCTCATTTTTAATATATAAACGTTGCTTTTTCTCCCTCTTGTTAACTTAATAAACAGAAAGAAAATCATAGATTAATAGAATTTTACCATTTTGGAGAAAAAAGAGGAACCAAATCCTTGCTGAAGCATGCACGAAACATACCCTATCAAAATAGCACCAGCGACCATCAGAAGATCTGCCAAAAATACCAGATCATTAGTGGCAGACATGGTTATGTACATGTCACTTTACATTTGCATACTGAATTGAGTAAAGCACTTTTCAACAAATAGATATCTAAATAAAAGATGCAGTGACACATCTGATACTTATTCGAACACAAAATAACACCTTGCGTTTGGGATTCATGGATGGCAATGATCATAACTATCAGTACATACATCCGTTTTATTCCTCCTCTCTCTATGTATCATCAGTATTATTTATCCCCTGAGGATGCAAGGTGCTTTTTGTTCAAATTCAGAGAGACTAATGGCTCCAGTATCTTAATTATCAGGCACACTGTCTCGCTGAAGAAATAATACATGATATGACAAAAATCCAATGGAGCACAACAATTTTCTATAGATAAAATCGAAGGTGCTAAGTTAATTAAATTGCATTCAGAGAAACGTATAAGGCTAAACAAGAACTAAACTCATTTAGCCCTTGTTTGAGCCCCATTTTTATGCTAAATGAATTTTGTAACAGTGATTTTTTGAAGAATGTGCAATTAAAAAGTAAAGAAAATTTTAGATTTACGTGCAAATTATTTTATTGATAGAATGTGTGGTTGAAAATGAGTATGGAAAAAAATGAATTATTGGATAATGAGGCTCAAACAGGGCTTATATTCTGATTCCTGATTTCTACTACTAGTTTCTCCTTTTTATAAAGGAAGAAAAATGATATTTATATAACTTTGCGTATGGAAGAGCATTTCTATCAAAGGGAACAAGGAAACCAGACACAATAAAGATAGCATACAGTTAAATCACAACTTGTGAAGTTACGGACGAGATGAACATGGATCACATAGATTTTGGGTGTTCATATTAAGCATTATGACGAATTGTAAATGATGGCATGATTATTGAAATATTAATTCACATTATCTTTTTAATTGATGGAAAAGAATGCATGCTAAAATCCCTATCTTGGCAAAACCATATTATGCAACCACAGTTGGCATGACAATTGGACAAAATTTTAGGACAAATAGCATTTTACTTAGCCAACCAATGTGCAGAATGCTCAAGAAAACAGATGTTGATTTGCAATCAGAACCTGCAGCAGACGTAGAGCTACTCTGGTAATTACAATCTTCCTTGTCAAGAGAGATTTGACGAAGAGCAGCATTGCCTCTGTCAATAACTAATAGTGAACAGGTTGCTTTCACATATATCACATCAAAGTCACTTGAGAACTTTGCATCCTCACTTGGCCCATCCCGGTATCCCACAACATTTGATTTTCCTCCCGCAATAGTTGTCACACCTGTAATTCATTTTCAAAGTCAGATTACTTTGAGAAGATATCCATACCATGACAATGAATTAACTTTAGATCCTAGATACCTATTTCATACAGTAATATATACAGTACATTGAGAAAATAGTTTATCTATTCAACAATTTTTAGTACATATTCAACTGTCAGAATACCATTTTGATTTGTCAAACTCCTAAAAATCAGGATAATACAGCACAATTGGACAAACCTGCTTCTCCTATCTTTCTAATGGCAAGATTTGATGTATCAGCAACATAAACATTCCCTTTATCATCCATTGTAACCCCCTTTGGATGATTAAAACGAGCATCACTTGGTTTTCCATCCACATGCCCAGTGTGACCCTGAAATGATCCTGCAACCAATCTTGCCCTACTATCTGCATATTGGTAAATGAAGAATTATAAGACCAAGAATCAAACCAATTATATAAAGGTGCAAAATTTTTGAAACTTTTACGAGGCAACAATTCCTTTTCAAGTACAATCTTACTTGACATTCTCAATACATTTTCTATCTCTACATAAATAAATAGACGTAAAATACCACTTTCGCTTGAGGCACTATCTCAACTTACAAAAACACTGGCTGAGCCCAAAAAACAAAAAACAATAAAATTTATAATTCAAGAGTTTTATGAATCAAGTGCTCATACCCGAAATTCCTGTCATTGAAAAATTTTTATTTCATCATTGGTATCTTTTCAATTGTTCAAAAGAGGAAGCATATAAATAACAGAAAGCTATTCTCGTTCTTTACATTTTCCAGAACCAAATAGGAAAAGCAATAATACTGTACTGCACCAAAAAATACTACAACAGAAAATAATGGTGGTTATCTCATATATTCATCTTGAATCAACATGATGTATAATTCAGCAGAAAGGACAGAAAGTGCACATTGGGAAAGTGGAGGAGTAATTCGAACGACGTTGCTATTCTCAGCATCCACAGCGAATAGCTCTCCATCTTGAGAGACACGAATAGAGTATGGTATAACCCCAAGTTCATTCCCTTGAACAACAGTTTCAACTAGATAGCCATCTTCAAATTGAAGCACATTTCCATCTGCAACAAGGCCAGACCTATAAATACATGTACACGAGCAAATATAATGTTGAATTTTCTCTAGTATTTCAACCAAAAATTATTGTCCCTCCCTCCCACCTAGGAATAGAGAACAATGCGATACGAATAACAACTTGCCTAAAGAAGCCATCAAACATGTTACTTTTTTTTTTTTTGGTGATTTTACATCCTCTAAAGTATAACCATAAAATAATATAATTAAAATTAGTCTTCTGAAGTATACATTCTCGCAAGGGTTTCTAATAAACTACCACATATTTGCTCTATGATACGGGTTCCATTTGTAAAGGCGGGAATTAGAGAAATAAGTACAACCGTTAAATAAACATCTAAAATGAACACGAAAAACTTTATAACAGTGATTTTGCCTGATTGCTGGGGTGCCTTGGTGGAAGACCTAGTCCATTTGAGAAGAGAGGAAAGGTGTTTTATCAATGGCCCTGCATTTACAAAAAGAATAGAATTAACAAACATAGGTAATTAAACTTCTGCATACAAAATAAGCACACCCATTTGACAAATAAATACAAATTCATCATGAATTTTAAAAATCTCAGAGCTTCTGACTTCTGTACTGTTCAGCAAACAAAGCCTTAACAGAAAAGGGAAAATTTACCTGCAGGTGCAGCATGAGCTTGAAACTGAAAAACACAAGTAATAGAGAGGATTAAGAAACCGAGAAAGAGAAATGAAGACCTCATGCCTTTGTCACAAGATTAAAGCTCAAAAAGAGCTTCTGCGCGTGTTTGTGTGTGCAGATCAGAAAAGTTTAATGAGGGATTTCGATGGAGATTGTGAAAAAATCAGGTTAATTAAGTGAAAATACAGATTCAAGAACAATGATTTTCCTCCATTTGCAAAAACCTCTTTTCTCACTCTCTTTCCAATTCTCGATCTTCAGATACTCTTTAAAAATTTATCCTTTAACTGGTTTTGTTGATTCCACCACAGAAAAGTGCATTTTTCGAGGAGTAATCGAAAAGAAAATCAGTATACAGTGGGCTTTGGGTTTTGCTGCTACTTTTTCACACTGATAAGCACATCTGAAGTGTTTTCGCGTGGATTATGCGATACGGTTTCTCTTTAAATAATTGGGACAACTGCACTTGGTCCTCAATCTATCGCTCTATAACAAATTAATCCTCAGTCAAGTGAAATCAGGGTTGGATTACTCTATGGTTTGTCATGTATTCTCGACCTTCAAAAATGAAGTTACGGATCTTTAACTCATATAAGCCCTTGTTTGAGTCCCATTTTTTTGAAAAAAATGTATTTTTGAATAGTGTTTTGATCACATTTTAATCACACATTTTTCAATAAAATAATATTACACGTAAATTCAAAATATTTTCTTTTTTTAACCATACATTTCCATCAATACATTATTCAAAAATACTTCACTTTTTTTAAACAAAAATGGTGCTCAAACGGGCCCTAAATATATGAATTTAAGTTTATAGATAGCGAAAACTCTAAACCTGAACGTTGAAATTTCATGGGACTTCCATTTGATTTTGCCCACTGTTTAACAATCATTAAAACAAAACTCTTTTTCTTAAACTTATTTTCAACCATCTATTCTCATAATAAAATATTCTATACATAAAATTTTAAAAAAAAAATTCTACTTTTTAACCACATATTCTCCAAAATTCACTAATTTAAAACTCAGTTTCTTAAAAAAAAATTTAAAAAATCATTTTAACGGTTGTCAAACAAAGACTTAGAAAGTTAAGTATTTTGACTATTTTGCCCACTTCACTTGAAATTTTCGCCTCCACTCCAGTTGCTCTTCGAACTATGGTTTTGCAGTCTCACGCTTGACCATCTCTAGCCGATAGCTAAATGAGCACCATTGTTCTCTCGTTTACGTCAATTTTAGCTTGTATGCTTTGCACAGGTAAAAAAGGAACTCACCCCCATTTCACAAGATTGTGAATACAATTGGTTCAAATGTTATTGACCTAAATGATTGAAATTTTGACACTTTTGTTGGAGAATTTTAGCCTTTCGAGACCTAGTCGACGAAGAAAAAAATGACATTAAATTGAAGAGTAAATAAATATTTTAAACTCGCCCGACTTCCTCTAGAGAGTTTTTTGTACATTTCTCCATCCCATGTTCTTTTTAATCATGTGAGACATTATATTCTAATGCACCATGTTGTTTTATTTCTTACAATAGAAGTATAAGAATTATGAGTTTTGTCAAGGTATCCTGTGTTATGGAATGTAGGTTTTTTTTTTTTTTTTTGTGTATCTTCAATCGTCATGGAAACACGTTTCATTTATGTTTGCCTACTTCATAGTTCGTATGATAATTTTTATGGTTGCTCAATGTTTCTGCCCTTGAATTGTGATTTAGTTACCTTTGATTGAGTGAATTGTTATACCGAATTAGCTTTTGCTTGAGTTGACATTGCTTTGTTGTTTATTCCCATCATATAATGGTCAAAAGGAATTCTGGAATCTGTCATAGTTGTAGATCTCAAAGCCACTTCTTTGCTGAATGCCCACGGAAATGTCGATGTCCATCATGCAAGCATGGATTTGAGAAGTGTTTCGCAGTGGAAAAGGAGACTTCCAATAAAAGGCGATTATTTCTTTGTTGTAGTGACAATTATAATTTTTGGGACTAAGTTGTCAAAGAAAAATCAAGTGGTCAATCCTCTATCAGTAGCACTTTCTCAATTAACCTTGCAACGAACGAAAGAGTTGACGATATGTCATATATGTTCCAATATCACATTCGCCTCAATGGTGAAGAAGACCTTCAGATTTCGGTGAAAGTGACGATAAGCAAAGCAAAAGGTAGAGCGGAATAGAATGCATAAGGGAAGGGGTCGACTTGATTAGTGCTTATTAATCGAATGGGTTATTACATAAACTTTGGTATATGTAAGATTATTATGAACGGAATCTATGTGAACTATGTTTGTACACTATTTGAATGTGAACGGGTTGCATTGCATCATTTGGAGCCTTCTTGAGATAGCATGAGTTTATTTTTCTCTTAATCAATTTGTGCGAGCTCTCAATTTGTAGGAACTTGGTAAATGTAGTCGGAGGTCAACTCAGTATTCAATAATGAATAACGAACCGATCAAATATGTGATTTTAACGATTATTTTAAATTGGAGTAACTAGTTCTCCTTCAAGCATTCAAAAAAAAATGACTTGATTACAACCATTCAAGGTTGTTAGCCCCATACAACTCCGACAGATGACTGTTCATAGCAACCAAAAATCGATAATAAAAGTAATACTCTAAACCAATCAAACTGAAGTTGGGCCAAAGCCACAAGTATTTAAAAACAATCAATCAAGTCCCAGAAAACTGAAGTTATTATTCCAAAAAGAAGATTACAACCCAACTTATGTAACATAAGCTATAACTTCATACATTATCCAAAAAAAATGAGATTAGTATTATACAAAGTTGGTGCACTCTTCCTTGCTGTTGGTGGTGAAAATGAAATTAATCAACTTACAAACCTTCTATTATTTGCATGGATGGACAATGACGAAGTTCAAGCATAAATCAACATCACTTGCATGAGCCACCTTGGTCTGGTAAATGCGAATAGTAGTACGACATTGCTTGACCTATGATACATTGATAACATTACTAGGTGCATACATGAAATAACTACACATCTAAAGTTTAAATGTTCTTACCTTGTGAACTATATATAACGTTTGCTGATAAAGGAGGGATCAAATTCGTGATGGAAGACGGTAACACTTCTGAAAGGGAAAATGGTCTTGCAATGGAATACTGTCATAACGGGAATGTTGTCAGTGTAGATCGTCGTATGCATGAAATATTATTGTGTTTGAGCTTGCTGAATGTCGACAACACTCTCTGCCATATCACTTTGCCTCATTCTCGGTTGCTTTTCTTTGTTGAATGCCGAACTTCCCTTAATGTGCATCTAGTGTATTCATTATTAATTTTTGGAAACATTTGAAGTTCATAGTCTAAGCTTTTAACGTACCTTGGCCTTCTTCGAACTCAACTCCAACATACTTTTTCTCCAAAGTTTATTGGGCACCCGAGGATGATTTCGAATCACATATGGTTATGCTGGCATTATTTTTGATTTAGTGCACTGATTGGCTAATTCAATAGTATGTTGCAAGATGACATTGCTTCCACTACATGACTTTTTTAACATCATAAGATGTTTATATTGGAGTTTTATCAATTAATCATCATCTGCGACAAGGTTCGCCACCTGTGCAAAAGCACGACACGTCGTCGTATCTCAATTGTTTAAGAGAGCTAACCAAACCATCGTAATTCACCTCTACCCTTGTGTGTGCCCTACTAACATCTTTCCTCCATCTACGCATTATATACCTCTCCGGAATTGATGTGATGTCACAACGAATCAATATTGCGATCACATGCCGACAAATTATTCTTGAACAAGTGTTAACTGCAAACAATATCACAATTTTGTCTATCGAATGAAATGAAGAATTTGTTATCTTCAGTCGCCTATCATACATAACATCCCCTCGTACATCGTCCCTGAGTTTAGGTCACGGTATACCTTTCCCGTACACTCATTCTGAGCTTTCCTGGATTTTGAAATGGTGTAAACTAGCTGAAACTGCTACTACATTTTGTATTATGTTTCACTTGGTAACATTTGCAAAAATGACTTGAAATCAAATTGGAACTCCTTCTCAACTTTATTACGCATTGCTCATTCATACTGTTCAATGAAATGCTTCAATGAGGTCTTTGAAGAGTGCATTAATACTCTCACTTTTTTGTATTATTGACATCTCTGCCCATAAACTAGTCTTCAAAAAACAAGGAACCTAACAACCTTTATTCTCATACAATCCGAACAACCAATCATTATCCTACAAGCCATAAGTATCAATAATCGCAGCGCAACCTTCTTCAAATTCTTGAACGAACTACGAATCATAAATCAATCCATGTAGTGCCCCAAATATCGATACCTTATCATCATGGTATCCAAACTTTTAGGAAAATTTTTCAAAATGTGCCACAAACACCATTTATGCCTTGTTTGGAAAAACAATCTAAAAGCCATGTTTTGAACAACCACAGAAAAGTATCTGTGTTTTCGTTCGATACCAAACCACAACCAAGCAATGTTGATTGTTCGTGATAATTGACTGCAACAAAGGGGTGAGAGACATGTCATACTTGCTTGTGAGTTAAGTCATATAAAATGTAACAATATTGCCAAACTCCTTATACACTTGCCTACAACGATTATCTGCCCAAAATACATTCTTCAACCACGAATCGTTGTCCAAATCCATGGTAAAGTAAAATCTCGAGCACTGTGCTTACATTTTTCAAAAGTATGATTGTATTGTTGCAGAATCTCCTTCTCCAAGTCTTAATCGTATCACTTTTTCAATGTAATTTTGATAATCTTTTTCCACGCAACTCATGTTCTCATAACCATCTACTTCTACAATTGCAGAATTGCAACTTTTATGCAACAAATTTCCTGTCAAATCATTCACTTGTAGCTTGCGTTTCACATGTGCACTCAATTCTCTATTGTATCGAAATAACCAAGACTTCGAATGGCTAGTTTCATGATTGTGGTCAAGGCGGACTAGGTTAATTCTCCAAGCTCCATAAAATGCAAATGTAGAGATTCTGGCTTTACAACCCATCTGGATTTTTGGTTGCAGCTTCAAAT